GCCTTGTTGGTCGTTCTGTCTTTCCACAGCCTTCTGTTTACTGTACAGTGGATCTGACTGAAACCTTCTCAACTCTCCTGGCATGTCAACTATGATCTCACACTGTCATTACCACTTGAAGAAAGATCAAATGTGTTTGCTTCAAAGCTCACCACTGCTCCAGCCATTCCTTTAATTTAATTGTATCTTTCAGAGATTTAGTGAATTATAATAATGTGAAGTCTGTTGCGCCTGCACAAGTATGTATGTGTGTACATGCATATGCATATCTGTGGGTACATATAAATATACATTAATTCATAAATATGCACACATCCATTAATCCATTATTATCCAGACATGCATAGACGCAAATGCAGCTGCGCTGCACACACACACACAGTCTATTTACATAGTCATATATTGCTTAGTGACATATTTGGTTAAATCTAAAAAAATGTGTGGACACCCATCATGGGAGCCTTGGATACAAAGTACAGTCCTGGAAAAAAAAGGGCAGCCAGGGTGAGGCTGACCAAATCATCTACCGAGGGCCGATTGATCTTTAAAATATATTCTAACCCTATATGCCCAATATGGCGTGGAAAAGGGTCCTTTACTTTACCCATGTGTCATGATCAACAGTATATATGATTGCCTGAATGTAACATTACTCTTGTAACCTGCAAATACTTACTTTCCATATCAATCAGTGCATCCTCCACATTGAATGTTGGCTGTTATGACTCCAACAGCTTCTGTTTTGCATTATTTTGGTGCATCTGTATAGGCTTCTTTCTGTCCATTATTTACCCCCCACCCTCTCTCCTAAGAAGCATGGTGTATAAGGTGACTAAGTTGGGGTGTTTTCTTCAAAGTCAGTGCCTTTGCCTGAGAAGAAAGGAACGAACAGTCTGCCAACAACAACAAAACAACAACACCTAGATGTATGAAAATGATGTGTGCACAAAACTCAAGTTCTAGAACAAAAGACAAAAGTCTAGAAGTGGACAAACAACTGGACATTTCCGCTAATGTTTACAGTCAGTGAACGCAAAGAAGGAGAAGTTTGACTAAAACATCATAACTGCCTGACCTTGATCTCACTCAGTAATGGTTTCTTCCATCTCAGTTCTTGTAATATTTTGATTGCATCTAATTATTTGCTTTTTCTACTGTGATACTCTTCCTATTTATTGATATGATGTTATCACAATCTATATCACTGCGTACCAGGGATTCCTGTGTGTGCTCAGTCCTTGGATGCAGCAGGCACCTTAAGATATCGCTACTGACTGTTCTCATTAGAAGTTGGTTACAATGTTTCCTTTCATGACCTCAAGAACAGCACTGACATGCTTCACCAGGCTTCCCTCTGAGGTCATGTAATCATGTCTGAGATTTTTCACAATCTAGCAGCCTAGTCTGTATAGTGTTGTAAACAATTAATATGTCCCACCCATACACACACAAATTTAACAAGTACTGTATTCCCCCCAAGTATGAGACTGACTTACCACCCCCCCCCCCCCCCCCCCCCTTTAGGTATAAAAACTGTGCATCTTTTACACTGGTAGTATATTTTTACTTTACCAAATGACCTGTCAGAAAATATCCCATACAGGGCCTCATTATGAATGCTGGTTCAGTGGCGACATAAAATGGAAAAAGAAAATTACAAAATTTAATGTTCTTTACCGCAGACATATTTTCTGCGCTTGTCTTCGATCTCACTGTTTCGACATCTGCGACATTAGAAATTCTTGTGTCCACTAAGATTCAATCACTTCATGTCGGCACTGACAAAGTTTTCAAAGTTACCATGAGAGATGAATGGAACCAATGGGTGATATTATCAGGAGACAATCTGACACCAGCAGGTGGTGTAAAGTAACCAACTATAGGAGAAGTTTGTACCTGGTGAAAAGACTGATCGTTGTCACGTCATTGAAGAAGTGTGCCATTTCAAATGCCACAGATGGAACCAAAGATGAGGCAATAAATGAAGACAGTCATTCGTCACACACAGAAGAGAACAAGCTAAAGAATTATCATATGGATGACAGTTTTGACAGTGATGAGTTCTATGGATTATATGATGAATAAAACATGAGTTTTATGTAATCATATAATTTTGTTCCCTTAATTTTCCAGTCCCAAAATGCAAATCTTATTCATTCATAAACTTTTACTTGGGGAAATACAGTAACAAGGAAAGCTAGTCGCCCCATACGGGGTGAGAATTTATGCTGAGAATAAGCAACAAATTGCAGACTAAACACAGAAACATAAAAGAACATTACTTCTGGTAACTTCTCTATAATCCATAGTCATAACAAAAAGAACATTGCACTAATCCATAAAATCAGTAGTATACATTAACATCTCCAAATCAGTGAGTAAAATATTATCTCTATATTATCATTCTCCATACAATAAACCATGCATTCTCATAACTCTCACCTCAGACTACTGATCGCTGGTCCACATCATTGGTTCTAGGATTAATTTTTAAAAATAAACATGGAAGTTAAAGGCAAGATGGTTGACTTCGCTGCACAGTGTTTTATCCCATATGGCCCAGACACTCATTATAGAGTGGCTGGTCAGCAAGTGAGAGTATCGCACACAAAAACTCTGCTGCTCCTGTAGCGACTTCTTAAACAGCTGTGCCCTCAAACTGAACGGCAGAGACCATAACAAAATTCATGACATTAGTAAACTGAATTGCAGAAACCATAATAAAATTCATCACATTCATGAACCTTTTGGCAGAGACCATAACCGACCTCATGGCATTCAGAGGCAAACGGCTAAACCAGTTCATCATGAAGACCCCCCCCCCCCCCCCCCCCCCCCCCCCCCCCCCCCGCCACCTTGGAATAAAACAGCTACAAATCCTGGAAAGCCTGTTCAACCGTGTGTCATACAGGATAGTTGTATTGGGGCACCACAAAATGGCTATGCAGTAACCTGGAGTCCAGTGTGGATAGGTTTTAAAGATTATATTAATCAATAAGAACTTTCCAACCTGAGTTTACAGCTGGTGAACATGAAGAAGAAGAAGAAGAATCAATCAAGCACCATCTTTATAACTGACATTTATCTGCTACAGATCCCAACTATTTTGTTGATGCTTGTTTTGGCTGTACACTCTGATTGCTGTTTGTTTATCTTTGATGCTGTTATCTTCCTCTTCCGTCCCCCCCCCCCCCTCCCTCACCTTTTGTGGGTTCTAGAGCACCATACTGATGGGAGGAGAGACAGTCCCGCTTCTACATAACAAGCATGTCACAAACAGCAATTAATTAAAGATTTGGTGAAATCTGGTGTGTTGAGCTAAAGGGTACAGATATCACAGCCTAGCTGTAAATCATAACACAATGTGCCAACCACCCTTTCAAGGAAAAACATAGAATCCCATTTATATCAGTGTCTACTTTTGTTTTCTGACTTCAACTTGAAGAGAGAGAGAATGAGAGAGAGAGAGAGAGAGAGAGAGAGAGAGAGAGAGAGAGAGAGAGAGAGAGAGAGAGAGAGAGAGAGAGAGAGAGAGACAGAGAGAAAGAGACACAGAGAGAAAGACCTGCACAAAACAGACTCTCTTTCCAACTGCAAAAAACAGCAACAAATGCTAACATTTAAAAAACATTATAAAAGCAAAGACATGAGTTATAAAAACTGGCTAGATTTTCAGCTATCGATCTAAAAGGCAAGCATTTGGCCACTGCCAAAATATGTTGTCTGCCATTAACATCTGGTCTGATCACACTAACAAAATATGGCTTTCACCAAACCCACCTTTATGTACATTTGGTTTCTCTGAAAGCAATAAACTGGTGATTTTCAAAGTCTTTACTTCTGCAACTAACAGAGCTACAAATATTAACTGTCAGCAGGTAAAAATCATTTGCAAGTACCGGATTTCCCCAAGTATAAGACACACTTATTTTCCAAAAATGTAAGGTCTAAAAACTGTGTGCGTCTCATACAATGGTAATAGAATTTTACCAAATGACTTGACAGAAAATATCCCATACAGGAACTCATTTATAAAAACCGGTTTAGTGGTGACATAAAAAAGAAAAACACAATTTTAAATTAAAATTATCTTTAATGCAGCATTTGTTTTTGCGCTTTTCTTCAGGCTCATTGTTTCGCATTTGTTACATCAGGAATTCCTGTGTCCACTAAGATTCAACCCCTAGGTGTCAACATTACCAAATCTTTCAGAGTTGCCAGGAGAGAGGACTGGAATCAATGAAAATGAAGTCTTCTGAAGGCAATCTGACACCAGAAGGTAGTGTGAAGTTTGTTCCTGGGTGAAGAGATCCTGAGATAATGTGAAGACTGAGATTAGTACTGTAATTACTCAGCCACCCAGCTACTGTATTCAACACTTTCTGCCTGCATTAACAAAACAGCATTTACAAGTTAGAGGGTGGACTTCCCTGCACTGGCTATGATCCCACGTGGCTTAGTCTCTCCTCAGAGCAGGTGTCCTCCCCCCCCCCCCCCCCCCCCCCATGAGTGCAGCACCCAGCACAAAACTGCAGCGTTGACCCTCAGATATCTCAAAAGCATCTGCACTCGTGACCTAAGGGCAGAGACCAAAATCAAACCTGCACCTTTTTGAGGATGAAGCAAAAAGCCTAATCCCTTTATCATGGAAAATGGATGACAAAATAATTATAACACATTTTACAAGTTTGGAGACACTTCACATTTTGTCTCAAGATAAGTCATGTTGTAATTACAAAAGAACATGTTTTAGTCAATGGAATGAAGCCCAGGTGGCTTTTTGTTTTGCTTTTGTTAGCTAAACACACACACACACACACAAACACATACACACACACAAAACATTCCATCCCATTGTTTTCTGCCCAATAGGTTCAACAACAAACACTGCTCTCAGAACAGACTCGCACTGATGATGCGGTCAATAGTCTATTGAGAGATTTATACATGTTAAGTACAATATGTACAACTGTCTAGGAAACATCTACTGCCTTTCACTATCAAGAAATGGTGCAGTCGTTCTTTTGACGAGTGGGGTTTTCCTGCTGGCTGATAATGGAATCAATGTCAGAATGTATGGACTGGACTCCCGGTGACAAGGTTCCTTCGTCTACTGACTGAGACTCTGGGATGCCTGCTACATCCAGGCTTAAGCTCCCTGAGGAGGTCTCCAGGAGCCTGCTCAGTTTTTCAATCTCTCCTCGGATCTGATGCAGGAAAGGTCTGTAGCCCAAGCTGAAAGGAGAAAGTAATGTGAATATGTCATTGTTTTCAATGTTAAATTAGGATAATAAAACTGTAAACACCGGAAGGGAAAAGAAAATGTGGAAGAACAAGAGAGATCCTGCATTAAAACATTATCAGAGAAGGCTCTACCATGGGCCTAATAAACATCCAAGACCTACAACACATCCCAGTGAACCGCCAGACATGGAGAGCTATCACCTCTGTGCTAGCACAAATGGACAGACTTAACTAATAAAATTGTTAACTCATCATCTCACTGCCTTTGCCTACAAGAAAAGGAAAATTGGTCACACTGCTCCTATGATCATTCAACCTCGGATTCATGCTGATCACACAAATCTAATATGTACTATTGTTAAACCTAAGATACACATGGGTCCTAAAAATAGAATACAGCCACTACTGTTTCAACTCTAGAACTATACTGATAATACACATCTAATAGTACCACTACTGTTTCAACTCTAGAACTATACTGATAATACACATCTAATAGTACTACTACTGTTTCAACTCCAGAACTATACTGATAATAAACATCTAATAGTACCACTACTGTTTCAACTCTAGAACTATACTGATAATACACATCTAATAGTACCACTACTGTTTCAACTCTAGAACTATACTGATAAAACACATCTAATAGTACCACTACTGTTTCAACTCCAGAACTATACTGATAATACACATCTAATAGTACTACTACTGTTTCAACTCTAGAACTATACTGATAATACACATCTAATAGTACTACTACTGTTTCAACTCTAGAACTATACTGATAATAAACATCTAATAGTACCACTACTGTTTCAACTCTAGAACTATACTGATAATACACATCTAATAGTACCACTACTGTTTCAACTCTAGAACTATGTTAATCCCACAAATCTTATATGTCACTATTGTTAAACCTAAGACACACATGGATCCTAAAAATATAATACAGCCACTACTGTTTCAACTCTAGAACTATACTGATAATACACATCTAATAGTATTACTACTGTTTCAACTCTAGAACTATACTGATAATACACATCTAATTGTACCACTACTGTTTCAACTCTAGAACTATACTGATAATACACATCTAATAGTACCACTACTGTTTCAACTCTAGAACTATACTGATAATACACATCTAATAGTACCACTACTGTTTCAACTATAGAACTATACTGATAATACACATCTAATTGTACCACTACTGTTTCAACTCTAGAACTATACTGATAATACACATCTAATAGTACCACTACTGTTTCAACTCTAGAACTATATTGATAATACACATCTAATAGTACCACTACGGTTTCAACTTTAGAATTATACTGATAATACACATCTAATAGTACTACTACTGTTTCAACTCTAGAACTATACTGATAACACATCTAATAGTAACACTACTGTTTCAACTCTAGAACTATACTGATAATACACATCTAATAGTACCACTACGGTTTCAACTTTAGAATTATACTGATAATACACATCTAATAGTACTACTACTGTTTCAACTCTAGAACTATACTGATAATACACATCTAATAGTAACACTACTGTTTCAACTCTAGAACTATACTGATAATACACATCTAATAGTACCACTACTGTTTCAACTTTAGAATTATACTGATAATACACATCTAATAGTACCACTACGGTTTCAACTTTAGAATTATAATGATAATACACATCTAATAGTCCTACTACTGTTTCAACTCAAGAACTATGTTAATCACACAAATCTAATACTGCCCCTTGTGATGTGTAACTAGTTGATTGGAAGAAAAGTCTGACTCGTCTGCACTATGATCGTGCCCCTCTAGACAACGGAGCTAGTGTCAAATCTGTATGAGATCTTTGATCTTTATGTTGATGGTTTGTTGCTCTCTACTTATTCTCATATATTCTGTGTTTTTTTTTTCTCAGTGTTGATCTTCATGTGATGCTTAAGGCAAATCTCGTGTAGTTGTTTTATGTGGTCCTGCAGGTATTTATTTCCACTGTGGAATATGCACTGATTGTCAGCAAAGAGCAGCTCCTTGAAGTCCTTCTGTTTATCAACACCTGGTGGTGTCATGTCTATTTTATTAATATTGTAAATGAATATTATAAAAAGTAAAGGTGAAAGAACACACCCTTGCCCTACTCCTGATGTTACTGGGAACCAATCTGTGAAGCCAGCTCTCGCTTTCTCTATGAATAGCTCTTACACAATCTAGCACTGTTCCATTTATACCATAGTTTTCAAGGACATTCCATAGTAAATCTCTGTTTACTCTGTCAAAAGCCTATTCTTGATCTATAAAAGCGATGTTCATTTGGTGACTGTATTCCCATTGGGGGGGGGGGGGGGGGGGAGAACTGATCAACTGCCTTCTTAACAGAATGTTGCAAAATTCATAGGGAGGATTTCCTCCGAAGTCAGAGAACATCTGCCTGAGGCGATGAACTAACAGTATGCATACAAATTAGCTAGATCTGTAAAAAGGATATGCAGGCAAAACTCAAGCTCTAGAACAAGACTAAAGTGATGAAGTGGACAAATATCCAGAACCTTTCGCCGGAGTTCACAACTGGTGAATGTAAAGAAGAAAAGAAAATGTAAAAACAATTCAATAAACCCCACAGACCTTTCCGTGACAGCCCACAGTTCACAGCCCGTGAATGTAAAGAGGAAAAGAAAATGTAAAAACAATTCAATAAGCCCCACATACCATTCTGTGTCCGCCCACAGCTCTAGATAACTGAGCCCCTCCCGCATCCTGGCCACCATATCTAGGGGAGTTTCTGTCTGGCTGGCCGTGTTGACGACTCGAATGACGGCAGAGTGGTCTCGCAACATTATAGCTAGGATCAAAGCCCACTCCAGGCAACCTGCCTCTTGCATGATATGTAATAAATACCTGAAGACAGCCAACAAACAACATCAATCAACAATAAAATAAACATATTTCTGTGATTTCATATTATGATAAATATTATTTTTTGGAATCAGAATGTCATTACTCATGTTAACTGTACACAACCTTAATTAGCATATGTGTGGAATGTTGAATTAAGAATCGACATCACAGCACTCGGGACACTTTCATAAGTGCTCAGTCCCCCATCTTCAGCAGCAAGAAAAGGGTTCAAATTCCGATGGTACCAGGAACCATCTGATTGTATATCCGTCTCATCCTTCCCCTGAGTGTTGAGCGTCGGCCATATTCCCTGGTAACTCCTCACAGCGCCATTCTCCTTAGACCGTAATGATATATCTGAGCTCCCACACTGTTCACTCGCTCCCAAAGGGCCCTCACAATGTCTAACTTGTCATACATCAATTCACCACCAAGAGCTGCAGAGCCAGCCAGTCTATCTGCCTGCTCATTTTCCAAAACATCGACATGACCTAGAGAAAATATCCAATAGAATATATGTTGAGTAATTAATAAATGGCAATTGTCTGTTGTGGTGAGAAGATAGTTCTGCAGATCCAATCCTGATGTATAGAATGTGAATCATGGGCAATTAGCACTCTTTTGTATCTCACAGCGCTTATCTACTGGAACTTGTGTATATAATTTAAGAAAAAACTAAATAGAGTAGGTCACTTTTCATTCACATGTTTGTTGGGTTGGTCGACTTTCCTGAAGGTTACGGGTGTGTCCCGCTCTGTTGTTTGGTTTTTGTGATGTCTTGTATTTACGTTTTTATTCCAAGAAAGAGAATGCCTGTGACATAGGTTGCAGCACTCTCTAGGGAAGTTGTGTTAAGGACAGTTTCTCCATGTTTTTAGAATGTTAAAAGCACTGGCGTGCTGAAAGATACAAAACGCGATATCAACCGCATTGCGGAACACTCCAGTAACATTGTGCGAAGGTCATGGAGCTCAGGAACTACAAATCAGAAGTGAGCTAGTGTGTATATGGGTGACTAACATTACTTTTACCAAAGCGCTATAAATATATATATTAACAAAACAAACGATTAAAAACAAAGCAGACAGAGTCTCAAGGCACTTCATGACAAATTCATATTACTGAAACCTGAATTGTTAAGAATCATGTGTTAAAATAATAACACATGAACCCAATTTATCTAAAAAAAATAATGAGTGTCACATTGAAAAAACAGAAACCTGAATTATGCTCCCAAAAAATGTATTGCATTGATAATACAGAAATATGAATTAGATTAGGAAATGATAAGTGTCACAATGATAATTCAGGAAACTAAAAAATATTTCAGAACCATAAGAGTTACTGATAATACTAGAAAAACTAAACTATGTTATGTAACTGATAATATATGAAAACTTAATTATGTCAAAGGATCTAACAATTCATCATCATCATCATGTGCCTTGCCGACTGGCGTGGGCGATCATGCCTCTCCATAATCTGCGATCTCCTGCAGCATGTATCAGTTCGTGTGCCGACACACCTGCATGCCATGCAACAAGACTATCAAGACATCTTCTCTTGTTGTCTTCCTCTATCTCTCCTTCCACAGATTTTTCCAGTGGTCACAACATGTTCTTTTTCCCTCTTCTCATAACATGGCCGAAAAATGATGACTGTCTCCTTCTGATGTCTGTAATAAGTTGTCTTCGGGCTCCCGCCTCTTTCAAAACCTCGTGGTTGTTCTTTTTGGCTGTCCAAGGTATTCTAAGCATTCTTCTGTAAAACCACATCTCTGAGGCCTCTAAAAATTGTTTGGCCTGCCTACCAATTGTCCAGGATTCACATCCATATGTTAAAACTGGATGTATGTAGCAAGCAAGAATTCTTTTTCTAACTCTCAATGACAAGGATATTTTGCACAAGATGTTTTTCATTTTATAAAATGCAGTTTTTGCCTGTCCAATTCTGTTTCTTATTTCAGTTATGCATCTTCCATCTGATGTTATCCATGTGCCCAGATACTTAAATTTCTGTACTTGTCCTAAAATAACACCATTGACTTTTATTACACAGTTAGGAATAATTTGTTTCTTTGATACCACCATTACTTCTATCTTCCCATTATTCAAACTGAGGCCCATTCTTCCATTTTTGAACACCACAATGTCTATCATTTCCTGTAATTCTTTCTGACTTGTTGCTATCAAGACTGTGTCATCAGCATAGCGTAAATTGTTTATATTGTGCCCACCAACCACAATTCCGGGCATATCAATTAAAGATCTCATTATACATTCACTGTATATTGAAAACAAATCAGGTGAAAGTACACATCCTTGTCGTACGCCTCTTTATGCTTTGAAATTTACCTAAACAGTTGTTTATTCTTATAGCTGCTGTTTGCTGCCAAAACATATTCTTTATTATTCGTAGATCTGTCTCATCAATGTTTAATTTTTCTAACAGTTTGATTACTTCTTCATGCTTCACACAGTCAAATGCTTTTGTATAGTCTATGAAGCATAAGTACAAATCACTCTTTACTTCTATAGCTCTTTCTGACAATGTCCTTAGGATGTATATGGCATTGTTTGTACCTTCTACAAATCCACATTGTTCATCGCTGATTTCTGGTTTAATTTTGTTTCTTATTCTTCTCATAATTCTTCTCAGCAAAATCTTAGTCATGTGACTCATAAGACTATTGTGCTATGGTCTTCACATTTTAAAGTGCCTGGTTTCTTTGGCAGAGCTATTATTTGGATTTTAAAAGGTCATTTGGAATATACCCACTAATATCAAACAATTACACTAAAAATAAACCTGAAGTGTCAGAGTTTCAACCTGAATCACGACAAAGAATCATGTGTTGCAGTGATTAAACAGAAACCTGAATTATGTTCAGAAATCATAAGTATTACACTGGTAATGTAGAAATCTGAGGTATGTCAAAGGATCATAAGTGTCACACTGATTACAGGGAGCTGCTGTTGTGTAGCGGCTAGATACTTGCCTGCGGACCTGTGGGTTAGAGTCTGAACGGAACAAGATATTCTCAAAAAATAACCTTGGTTCCCATGTTGACCCAGTTTTGAGTGAGCACCAGGTAAATTTCTGGGAAGTAAGGTGACCGATGTAATGCTGATCACATCACCCACCAAGTGCCGACTGGTCAATAAAATATAGTTCTAGTGATAAATGCCTAATATGCCTGAAAGTTTTGTAGGGTCATTTATTTTTACGCTGATATTACAAAAGCCTGAATTATGTCAAGGGATGACAAGATGCAACCAGACCTTAGAAACAACTTACTCCAATTCCAGATGAGCCTGCTCAGGGCCTCTCGTGGAGGCTAATTCTTGAGACATTCCCTCAATCCCCTGCAGGAACTGCGGGTCGCCTCCCACTGCTGCATCAGTAACCACCTCAAATTCTCCCAGCAGAGAACTTGTGTCTGATATCTCCATAGTAGCAAAGCTACTTTCCTCAGCTGGAAAAAAAAAATAATCAATGGCATGAAAGAGCAACAGGTTTTAAGCAGCCTATTCATACCAGCACTGTGCTTCATCTTCTTTTGTTTGCTTGAAATAATTATCTATAACTGCAATGTTGTCTCTACTATGAACCCCATGGTCTGTTGTAATTCAGTCAGCTTGCACAAGGTTTGGCTTGCACTGGTGTTTCTCTTGGCCAAAAGTTGTGCCTATATTTGGGACCATCTTGGAGGACGTGATCCATTGTCTCAGCTGCTAATCCACATGTACACACAGCTGATTTGACAATCTTATACTCTGTGAACATGTGGCTGCAAAGTCGATTGTGTCCTTTTCTAAGGTGTAGAATAATGACTTGCTGTGGTCAGTCCATTACATAGCACAATGTTAAAACTGATGCATGATAAGTTAGATGTTATAGGGACCCTTTGGGAGGGAGTAAACAGTACGAAGGCACAGACAGATCATCGCGGTCTGAAGAAAATAGAAAAGCAAGAAGTGGCCAGGGGATCTGGTCAATGCTCAACACCTAGGGAAGGGCTAGGATGGACATGTAATCAGATTTTCAGATTGTTACTGGTACTGTTGGAATTAGAACCGTGTGTTTGCTGCTGAAGATGGAGAAGGTGTCCTTACAGAAATGACCCAAAGTGCTATGATGTTGGTTTTTAACTCACATCTCACTATGCTAGTAGTGCCAAACAAGAAATACTGTCAAAATAAATTGTGAGACTGGACGCCTGAGAAATGCCACCAAATGAATCATCAACCTCTTCATGTTTAACATGAAAGAGCAGTACCCAAAACCAGGCAAGAAAGGCTCAGTATCTGCCAATACATTTATGTAACAGTTTGCAGTTTAGAGGATCAACTTCAGTGAAGCATGTTTTATTCCATACAGTTTGCCAGATGTAAATCCCGGTGGAAAGACGTGGTTGTTTGTTCATTTCTGGATTTCGGCTTTCTTCCAGGATCCGAGTCTTTCATGTGCATCCCTTTTACAGATCTTTCTTTTTTTTGTATGCAGACTGTTCGTTCCATGCCTTTCAGGCAGATGCACTCCGACTTTACAGAAAGCCCCCAATTAGTCGACTCTTACAACAGGAACCCAGACGGTGAAGGTTAGTCCCTTTTGAGGCTGTCATGTCACACAAATTATCAACTCCGTGTCTCCAATGAATACCCCAGTGACCTTCTTTAAAATCGCACTAGTGAACCAAATAATGCAGTTCATGAAAAGAACCCTGCGCAAGGAAGTTCAAGGCTCTGCTCAAGTGCAAAGCTGTCCATATATTCTAGTGGATATTCTGTCCCCATTTCCTGCTCTGTGTTGTCATTCCAGTATTCTATAACATGAAGGTGCACTGCAGAATTAGTACTGCAACAAAATATCTACAATTTTTCTTAACATTCATTCATTGTCCTGTTGTGCCACTAACTGTCACATAGAGCTTGCAGTCTATTTCTCCATTCCGTACCATCCTGTGCAATAACATGGATATCAGGGATGAAATCCAGTCCCGCACCTTTAGCCTCTCTCGTCTATTTATATTACCTGAAAGCAAAAGCACGGTACTTACTTCTGAGGTTTTGAGGTTTGAGTATAATCTCGTCCGAGCCAACCTGAGATAGAACTTGCTCTGACAAGGGCTGGTGTAGTCTTGTGTCAATGGCTGACCCCAAAGCTGATTTTGTCATATGAGAATCCGGGGTGATCCTCTGACCACTCTCACTGCCAAGTCCAAGGAGGTCATCATCCAACAGTGATGATGATAAAGATGATGATGATGCTTAAAAGATTAAATATCATGAAAATATATCAAGATTAAATATCATGAAAATATAACAAAATTAAACATCATGATAAAATATCATGAAAATATATCAGGATTAAATATAAGAATATATCAAGATTAAATATGAAAATATATCAAGATTAAATATCATGAAAATGTATATCAAGATGATTCTGAAGTGGCACATCTGGCTTTACTATCCTTCCCATATGGGTTCCAGGGGACCATTTAGGGAGTTGATTAGATTCCCTGCTCCTCAAGATTGTCATAAACGGTAACCAGTTCAGTCGTAAACAACAAAATCTGCCAACCACCATTTGAAAAGCAAATGCAAAAAAAAAATGGAGAACAAGGATGAGGAGTAGGAGGAGTAGAGGAAGAAGAAAAAGAAAAATGAGAAGCGTTGATTTCCAGTACTGATCCGCCCTCGTAACTGAAATTTTCTAAGGGGCCCAGGAGAGTATAGCAGGAAAAAAAACCATGACTCTTCTTCATTGTAACAAAGATTTAACGAGTTACCTGCAAGAGATCTTCGCAACTGATGTAATGCAGTAGATGCTAGGACCGGCATTGGCCACTCAAACTGTGAATGGAGATCTCTCAGGGCTGTTACAAAATCCTCAACTTTTCCAGCTCGTACCCTTTAAAAAAACCACGAGAGGGAAATCAGCAGTGATAAATTTCTTAAAGAGATCGTGCAAAATGAGCCGAAATAAGACAGAAGGTAGGGACTGTGCTGTCTGGTTGCTCAAATGACTAGGGAGTCGCCGTGGCATAGTGGCTAGATGCTCGCCTGCAGACTAAAAGGTCGTGGGTTCTCTTCCTGGAGGAGCCAGACTTTTTTCAAAAATGACCTTGGCTCCCAGGTCGACCCAGCCTTGAGTGGGTACCAGGTGCAGTCCTGGGAAGTAAAAGGTGGCCGGCCTGATGCTGACATCACCCACCAAGTGTTGTTTGGTCTATTAAAATATAGGTCTAGCCCTATACACCCAATACTCCTGAAAGACTTGGGAAAGGGTCCTTTACTTTTTTTTTTTAACAAATGAAAAGAATGTCGCCGGCCTTGCTTAAAATATACAGAATTATATCTAAAATAATGGTTAATGAGCAATACAACAAGAATATCCTAAATGTGTTTAAAATGTACACCACCATCATCATCAAGTGCCTTTCCAACTGGCATGGGTGATCATGCCTCTCCACAATCCGTGATCCACAACTGCATGTATCAGCTCATGTGTTGACACCTACCCATGCCATGACAGAAGGCCATCAAGAATCTTCTCCTGATGTCTTCCTCTGTCTCTCTTTTCACACACAAATCTTTCCAGTCATCACAACACGTTCCATTTTCCCTCTTCTCATAACACGACAAAAAAATGCCTGTCTCTTTCTGTTGTTTGTGATAAGTTGTCTCAGAGCACCTGCCTCTTTCAAAACATCTGAGTTGCTCTTTTCAGCTAAAATGTGCACAAAAACAGCTAAATAAATCATATGACAACAATAACCCAACAACTATCAGTAGTACAGGCAGCTTAGGACACGTTATTCGCTGCAAAGACTGGTATATCCTTATTTATTTGCATTTTGACTGCTCATTTATTTGTAGAAATTTAACATGGCTAATTTTCCTTTTACTTCTACAGATATTTTGTCAGTTTTAAAATTTTCCTAGAGCAGAGGCCAATCATAACCCTCTTTTTCCTGTGTGGTTTCTGGGAAGCCACTTTGGGAGACAGTATAAAACCACCATCTTATAACTCTTTCAGTCCTAAGTATTTGTTACTTTCACGCTACCTGTGTCCATTTATAAAATATTTACATTTACTTCCTTTATTCCTCATGTGGGTTCCGGGGCCACATTGTGGAGAAAACAAGAATAGACCCACTGCCTCCCCCACAAGCATGTCATAAGAGTCGACTAATTGGTGCTGCCTTCGAAGTCGGAGTATATCTGCCTGAGAGTCATGGAACCAATAATCTGCATACAGTTAAGTTAAATCTGTTAAACGGATGTGCATGCAACACTCAGGTTCTGGAAAAAGACTAAAGACAAGAGGTGGACAAACAACCTGAACTTTCCGCCGGAGATTACAACCGGTGAACGTAAAGAAGAAGAGGACTTCCTTTATATGAGCAGACATACACAACAAAATAAAACCACAAACAAAAACACCACCCCAAAAAAAAAAAAAAAATTTGACAAAGAAGCTCAACAAAGGAAAGGATAAACGCACACACCATTTCATTATTTTTTGACTGGGAAAAGAATATTTTAATTATAATGTATCTGTTGTTCCTTTTAAGTCACTGTAGAATAACACTGTTCTTTCTCATTAGTACATCCAAAGCAAAAAGGAAACTAATCTACCAATTATGCAAGCAATGGAACAGCTGATGTTGTTCATTTATGTAGCACACATCAACAGCTTGCAAAAGATGCCTGTTCAAAACCTGACGCCCAAAGACAAAACAGGGTCTAGAGAAAAGAAGATTAATCTACAATGTGTATACTGTTTCATAACCAAGTGATCTATAAGTGTTACAGCCCCTACCTTTCCCTCTTGAGCCAGGAAACAAACTGGAAATCTTCCATGTTTGCAGCAAAATAACCCAGTGTCCTGATTTGGTTGGATGCCAACAGTTTTCGGGCATGACGGCACAAGATCATGTCAATGTAGACCTGCTCTGCTGTGGGTTCCGTCAGTTTGGTTTTTCCAGATGGCCTAAAACAGCACAAAGAATTATATTAATGATTATGCTACCTTTATTTAATTTTATTATTAACTGCTGGCTTCTTTTCTTGCTTTTTTTTAAAAAACTTTTTATCGACTTTCTTGTCGCTGTTGGTTGTTGTTTTCAGTGTTGGTGTGGGTGGGCGTTCGGGTGGGCCGGCGGATATGCGTGCGTGTTTTTTTTTTCTTTACTTCTTTTTTTTTCCACTTCTTACATTCTTGTTTTCTTTTGTCCTTTAAGGTTTTATTATTATTATTATAGTGCTTTTTTTTCCTCTCGTTAACTTGTTTTCTATCTTTGTTGTTTCATTTCTGTCTTGCTTTTTAGTAGGGTCTATTTTTCTTTAATTATTTCTTCTTTCTTTCTTTCCTTTCGGCTAAATTTTCAATTTAAACAAAAACAATTTTTTTTTTAAATTATAAAAATTACATGTTCAAATATGTCGAAGAAAACTGGATATATCGACCAACCAAAGTAACACACACACACATACAAACATACTCACGTACACATGTAGTTAGAATTATAACAATAGCATCAACCATGGAAGAGAACTAAAACTTGCTACTACTAACACATGCTACTACTAACACATGCTACTACTAACACAAACACATGCTACTACTAACACATGCTACTACTAACAAACACATGCTACTACTAACAAACACATGCTACTACTAACACATGCTACTACTAACACATGCTACTACTAACAAACACATGCTACTACTAACACATGCTACTACTAACACATACTACTACTAACACATGCTACTACTAACACATGCTACTACTAACAAACACATGCTACTACTAACAAACACATGCTACTACTAACAAACACATGCTACTACTAACAAACACATGCTACTACTAACAAACACATGCTACTACTAACACATACTACTACTAACACATGCTACTACTAACACATACTACTACTAACACATGCTACTACTAACAAACACATGCTACTACTAACAAACACATGCTACTACTAACAAACACATGCTACTACTAACAAACACATGCTACTACTAACAAACACATGCTACTACTAACAAACACATGCTACTACTAACAAACACATGCTACTACTAACACATACTACTACTAACACATGCTACTACTAACAAACACATGCTACTACTAACAAACACATGCTACTACTAACAAACACATGCTACTACTAACAAACACATGCTACTACTAACAAACACATGCTACTACTAACAAACACATGCTACTACTAACAAACACATGCTACTACTAACAAACACATGCTACTACTAACAAACACATGCTACTACTAACACATGCTACTACTAACTAACACATGCTACTACTAACAAACACATGCTACTACTAACAAACACATGCTACTACTAACAAACACATGCTACTACTAACACATACTACTACTAACACATGCTACTACTAACACATGCTACTACTAACAAACACATGCTACTACTAACACATGCTACTACTAACAAACACATGCTACTACTAACAAACACATGCTACTACTAACACATGCTACTACTAACACATACTACTACTAACACATGCTACTACTAACACATGCTACTACTAACACATGCTACTACTAACACATGCTACTACTAACACATGCTACTACTAACACATGCTACTACTAACACATGCTACTACTAACAAACACATGCTACTACTAACACATGCTACTACTAACAAACACATGCTACTACTAACAAACACATGCTACTACTAACAAACACATGCTACTACTAACACATGCTACTACTAACACATACTACTACTAACACATGCTACTACTAACAAACACATGCTACTACTAACACATGCTACTACTAACAAACACATGCTACTACTAACTAACACATGCTACTACTAACAAACACATGCTACTACTAACAAACACATGCTACTACTAACAAACACATGCTACTACTAACACATACTACTACTAACACATGCTACTACTAACACATGCTACTACTAACAAACACATGCTACTACTAACACATGCTACTACTAACACATGCTACTACTAACAAACACATGCTACTACTAACACATGCTACTACTAACACATGCTACTACTAACACATGCTACTACTAACAAACACATGCTACTACTAACACATGCTACTACTAACAAACACATGCTACTACTAACACATGCTACTACTAACAAACACATGCTACTACTAACACATGCTACTACTAACAAACACATGCTACTACTAACACATGCTACTACTAACAAACACATGCTACTACTAACACATGCTACTACTAACACATGCTACTACTAACAAACACATGCTACTACTAACAAACACATGCTACTACTAACAAACACATGCTACTACTAACAAACACATGCTACTACTAACAAACACATGCTACTACTAACACACACATGCTACTACTAACACATGCTACTACTAACACATGCTACTACTAACACATGCTACTACTAACACATGCTACTACTAACACATGCTACTACTAACACATGCTACTACTAACACATGCTACTACAAACACATGCTACTACTAACACATGCTACTACAAACACATGCTACTACAAACACATGCTACTACTAACACATGCTACTACTAACACATGCTACTACTAACACATGCTACTAATAACACATGCTACTACTAACAAACACATGCTACTACTAACAAACACATGCTACTACTAACACATGCTACTACTAACACATGCTACTACTAACACATGCTACTACTAACACATGCTACTACTAACAAACACATGCTACTACTAACACATGCTACTACTAACAAACACATGCTACTACTAACACATGCTACTACTAACAAACACATGCTACTACTAACACATGCTACTACTAACAAACACATGCTACTACTAACACATACTACTACTAACACATGCTACTACTAACAAACACATGCTACTACTAACACATGCTACTACTAACACATGCTACTACTAACAAACACATGCTACTACTAACACATGCTACTACTAACAAACACATGCTACTACTAACACATGCTACTACTAACAAACACATGCTACTACTAACACATGCTACTACTAACAAACAAACACATGCTACTACTAACACATGCTACTACTAACACATGCTACTACTAACAAACACATGCTACTACTAATAAACACATGCTACTACTAACAAACACATGCTACTACTAACACATGCTACTACTAACACATGCTACTACTAACACATGCTACTACTAACACATGCTACTACTAACAAACACATGCTACTACTAACACATGCTACTACTAACACATGCTACTACTAACAAACACATGCTACTACTAACAAACACATGCTACTACTAACACACATGCTACTACTACTAACACATGCTACTACTAACACATGCTACTACTAACAAACACATGCTACTACTACTAACACATGCTACTACTAACAAACACATGCTACTACTAACACATGCTACTACTAACAAACACATGCTACTACTAACAAACACATGCTACTACTAACACATGCTACTACTAACAAACACATGCTACTACTAACACATACTACTACTAACACATGCTACTACTAACACATGCTACTACTAACACATGCTACTGCTACTAACACATGCTACTACTAACAAACACATGCTACTACTAATAAACACATGCTACTACTAACACATGCTACTACTAACAAACACATGCTACTACTAACACATGCTACTACTACTAACACATGCTACTACTAACACAACTACATGCTACTACAAACACATGCTACTACTACTAACACATGCTACTACTAACAAACACATACTACTACTAACACATGCTACTACTAACACATGCTACTACTAACAAACACATGCTACTACTAACAAACACATGCTACTACTAACACATGCTACTACTAACAAACACATGCTACTACTAACAAACACATGCTACTACTAACACATGCTACTACTAACAAACACATGCTACTACTACAAAACACATGCTACTACTAACACATGCTACTACTAACACATGCTACTACTAACAAACACATGCTACTACTAACAAACACATGCTACTACTAACAAACACATGCTACTACTAACAAACACATGCTACTACTAACAAACACATGCTACTACTAACACATGCTACTAGTAACACATGCTACTACTAACACATGCTACTAGTAACACATGCTACTACTAACACATGCCACTACTAACACATGCTACTACTAACACATGCTACTACTAACACATGCTACTACTAACACATGCTACTACTAACAAACACATGCTACTACTAACAAACACATGCTACTACTAACACATGCTACTACTAACACATGCTACTACTAACAAACACATGCTACTACTAACACATGCTACTACTAACACATGCTACTACTAACACATGCTACTAGTAACACATGCTACTACTAACACATGCTACTACTAACACATGCTACTACTAACACATGCTACTACTAACACATGCTACTACTAACAAACACATGCTACTACTAACACATGCTACTAGTAATACATGCTACTACTAACAAACACATGCTACTACTAACACATGATACTAGTAATACATGCTACTACTAACAAACACATGCTACTACTAACAAACACATGCTACTACTAACACATGCTACTACTAACACATGCTACTACTAACACATGCTACTACTAACACATGCTACAACTAACACATGCTACTAGTAACACATGCTACTACTAACACATGCTACTAGTAACACATGCTACTACTAACACATGCCACTACTAACACATGCTACTACTAACACATGCTACTACTAACACATGCTACTACTAACAAACACATGCTACTACTAACACATGCTACTACTAACACATGCTACTACTAACAAACACATGCTACAACTAACACATGCTACTACTAACACATGCTACTACTAACAAACACATGCTACT